ATACTAGTCGGATTGAGCTGAAATTTGAGTATGTTATAGGAATCACATAAATGAACAACCTTTATGAAGAAAGTTTTCTCATTTAAGCTTCCGAAATTTGAGTTCTTGGCTGCTCCAAGGAAGTGACGAATTTTGGATTTTGAAGAGGAACAAAAGAAGAATAAGGATGAAACTAAAGTGAATGAGGAAGAAAGGATGATACAATGAATGATGAGGATAAGAGTGAATTTATGATTGGAAAGCCTTAGGATAGGTGAGTCATCAAGTTAGAAGAGAGTGTATAGGCTAGGTGAGTCATTAAGTTAGACTAGGTTACTCATCCCTTCATAAATGGTGGATAGGAAAGCTTGAGGCAAGGGGGAAAGAATGAAGGAGGGAAGAAAGCTTTGGCTTACACGTTGCTTTCTCTTCTTTTCTTTTCTTTGCCTACAAGGGTATTTTGGTAATCTATCACACATAGGGGTGTTTTGGTCATTTTTGTCCAACTTCAAATTAAACATACTTGATTTAATAATATCAATCCAAAATCTCTTGATAAAAATACCTATAATCATTCTCCACCATTATATTATTATTTTTACTAAAATATGAAAATCCACCTCGAATTTTTCAGGGTATTACATATTTCCCCTTTCGCATTTAGAGTGTATGAGCATAAAGCTAAATCCATCAATATCCCGTTCGAACACTAAGTGAATTCATGCATCCACCCCGCAGACCTCATTGGGATGCTGCCATACGGGTCCTTAAATACATCAAGGGGACTTCAGGTTAGGTTTGTTATTTTCTGCCTAAACTTGTTGCTCAAGGCTATACTCAAATTGAAGGTTTGAATTTTGATGAGACTTTTGCTCTGGTTGCTCGTTTAGAATATGTTCGGTTGTTGTTGTCCATTGCATGTCACCTTAAGTTCAAACTACATAAAATGGATGTCAAGAGTGCGTTTCTAAATGGTGTTTTACAAGAGGAAGTTATACGGAACAACCTGCATGATTTCAAGACCATATCTATCCCAATCATGTATATCGTTTGAAAAATGCTTTCTATGGCCTAAAACAAGCCCCAAGAGCATTATATGATCGACTGTCTGCTCATCTTCTTCAAAAAGGGTACACTCATGGTAGCATTGACAAAACCCTCTTTGTCAAAAGAACCAAACATGATTTAATGGTCGCACAAGTATATGTGGACGACATTGTTTTTGGGTTTACTTTTTACAATCTTGTCAAAGAATTCCATGAGGTAATGAAAACCAAATTTTGAGATGAGTATATTTGGCGAACTAAATTTTTTCCTTGATTTGCAGGTCCAACAATTCAATGGAGGAATGTTCATTTCTCAAACAAAGCATGCCAAAATCCTTGTGTCTAAATTTGGTATGGAGTTCGCCAAGCCTACTCGAAATCCCATGAGCACAAGCGACAAGCTTTCCAAGGATTCACATGTCAAAGGTGTAGAAAGAAAATTATATAGAAGCATGATTGGCAGTTTGTTATATTTGATTGCTAGCATACCAGACATCTCCTTTAGAGTTGGACTTTGTGCCCGCTTCCAATATGTTCCCAAGAATCACATCTAATTGCCGTGAAGTGAATTCTTCACTATGTAAGTGGTATTATGAATTTTGGTGTATACTACTCTTTTAATTCAAATGTTGAACTTGCAGGTTATTCCGATGCAGATTAGGCTGGAAACATTGATGATAGGAAAAACACAACTGGGGGTTGCTTTTATAAAGAAAACAATATTGTCTCCTGGTTTAGCAAAATGCAAAATTGCGTCTCTCTTTCCACTGTTGAAGCCGAATACATCGCTGTAATAGCTGTTGCACACAGTTGTTATGGATGAAACAAATGCTCAACGACTATGGCATTCAGCAAGGTAAAATGGTAACATTTTTTTATAACATGCACACTACTTTATTTTAAGTACCTTGAATATCTCCTCTCTTGCACGTGTTTCTCTTTGGATTGACATCACACTATTGCACATAAGCTATTGATCTTTTTTTTTTCTTTTAAATTTTAAAAAAAGGGTGGTGACTAATCATTGCTCAGTAATCGGCCCTTTTGTCTAACCAACGTCGAGGTTCGAGTCAAAAGTCTTTCATTTTTTTGCTGTCCTTGCTTATCTTTGGAGCCTTCATGATTCAGATAAGTATATCCTCAGGGTGCCTCATCACCCAATCGCTTGTAATCATCTGACTTGAGCACACTGATTGAACATCCTCTACATGGGTCATGTTGAAAGCTAAATAAAGTGAGCCTTAAAATAAATAAAAAAATCAAAAATCAAAATCAAAATAAAATGATCACCATGTGCTTACTATGCTTACAGTGTATGTTCTATCTTAAGTTAGATAGGTCTTGGGTGGACGTATTCCTTATGCTTAATTGAAAAGAGTTCACTTCACACATTTGCTTCTTGATGGTAGAATCATTTGGTGTTTTTTATCTTTCACCATGATTGTGTTTTGCCTACTCTTATTTCTGTGAGTTTTTTGTCTCGTGTGATGTAGTGCTTTTGTCCTTGGCATGCTATGCTTCACATGCGTTTAAGACAGAACTGAGTTTGATTCTTCTTTCTCTCCTCACCCACAAGCTTGGCATGTTTATGAATGGAAATTAAGTATATGTACAAGAGAGCTTTGGTTTGCATCTACAGTCTATTTTGTGTGTTATTTGTTTTGCTACTTCTTTTATTTTTCATTGAATTATTTTTACTCTTTCATATTATTTTTATTTTTACTTCTCACCTTAAAATTAAAAAAAAAAAAACCCCAGAAACGGTGCATTTCACGCTGTTTGCTTAAGTGTGCAACCTAGGGTTCTCTTCATCAGTTTGTCAGATTTGATTTCCAGCTTCTCATAGCCTCCATTGACGCAACCAAGGGTTCTTTTAATCACTCTGTCAGCTTCTCACCACCTCTTGGCGTTGTCGCCTCGCCATGGTCACCACGCGTAACCCCCAGCCCTCATCTTCATCAAATACACTTGACCACAACCCATCTCGTTTCGTAAGCTACTGCCCAGCTGCTACTCCATCTTCCGTCGCCATGCCTGCTGCGTCCCGATCAAGGCCCTCCTCTTCGCGTTGCTCGCATTCCATTAGTACCTCACTTGCTTTTTACCATCCTCCGCTCTCCCACTTTGTGTCTCCAACATATTCTACTCGCTATTTTAATGTGGTTTGTCATTGTCTGTTGCTAATTGAAGAAGATTTTGATCTCTCCCGTTTCGGTTCCACCTTTGTTGACTTTCTCACTCAGCATCGTCTCCTGCGGTTGGCTCACAATTTGCCATTGCCCAATTTTCAGATTGTTCGAGAATTCTATGCCAACTTTCCTGCTGAACCCGTTGTCTCTTATTCTCTTCCTGACATTGTTGTGAGTGTGCGTGGTGTGTCTATTTCGGTTAATGTCATGTTTATTACAGCTGCACTTGGTCTGGCTCTTATTTGCTCTAGCCCTACTTGTGAGCCTGTTCCAGATTTCCTTCCATGCCGTCACCTTGTGAATCCCCTCTATGTGTCTCCACCCGATGTTCTTCCAATCGAACTCTCTTCAGGTATGATGTCCCAGTGGACCCGCACTCTGTATATGCTCATACGTAACTATTTGAATCCTACTTTCCAGCGTGGGAAAATGAGTTGGAAGGCTGCCCATATTCTCTTCTAGCTTGTGATTGAGCACTCCGTCAGTGTCGAGTTCTACAATCGTGACAGCATCATCACAACTGGTGCCACAAATGCCACTGTTCCTATAGCCAGTCTTGTTCTACCTCTGATCATCACAATTCTAGCTGCTCTTGCTGGTGTTCCTGTCCTTCCTACGGATGATATTGGCTCTTTTGACACTATGAAAGTCAACAATCAGATCACTCTACATCATAGTGATGCTCATTGTGCCTCTGGTGGTTTCTCCATCGAGCAACAAGACCTTTTGGACTCGCTCTCTGCATCCCATCAAGTGATGCATGCACTTCTTCGCCACATTCGGAACCATCTTGATACTTATGGTGAGCTGCTGCTGACTCTTGTTAGGCATATCCAGCCTGCTGATCCTCCTTCATATCACTCTCGGGCTCGAATTCTCTAAGGTTCATTTATTTTGTTTCTGACTTTGTTCTCATTTTGTTGCCTTATTTGTGTTCCTATGGCTTTCCTAAACAAAAAGGTGGAGAAAACTTTTGTTACATATGCAAGTTAGGGGAAGTAACTTGATTGTTGGAAGTAGAAGAATGATATTTTGGGGGAGATAATTTTCTATTTTGTATGTGATATCAGAACTTGTAATGACTTGCTTAACCTCTTAACATATGAAGGATTGTTGTTTAATTGTGCCAAGTTCTGTTTCTTGATTTTCAATTCTATTGTGCTTCATTGGTAGTCTGTTTGTTGGTGTGTAGAAGTTACAAGAACTGGATGTTTGTTGGGCATAGTAAATTAGGTTGTTTAGGGGTTGTTTGGTAGGATATTTAGAGGCCCATTTTTGTTTTTTGAGCCCAAATACAGATGCAAAATGCATTCGGTGGGTTCTCGACAAAAACACGGAAAAGGTTTTGGGAGAATGAATTCACGCTTAAAGCGTAAAAAGTGAAAACGCCAAAATGACGTTCTCTCCATTCTCAACTCTAAATTAGAGAACGCAGGATTCTATTTGGGAAAACGGAGAAAACAAGGGAAACAGAACACAGAACACGCTTCGTCCCTTCATCTACGTCCCTTCACCGCTTCGTCTTCATCTTCGTCTTCGTGTTCGTCCCTTCGTCTTCGTCTTCGTCTTCATCCCTTCATCTTCATATTCGTCCCTTCGTCCAAGTCTGAAACAGAAACACGCCCTTCATTTACGGGAAACAGAGAAATTCCTTGCTTCTCACTCTTGCAATCTTCCTACACACTCTCTTAGAAGATCTTGGTAAGAAAAATTTGTATAAAATATTTCGTTTTGGACTTGGGTATTTCTGTATGGTGTATCTGAAAGTTTTCTTCTCAGATTTCGTTTCACACTCTCTTGGAAGATCTTGTTGCTCAGCCTTCTGGAAGATTTGGTAAGAAATTACTTCTTTTTTTTCTTTTTTTTTTCCTGCTATTTATGTTTAGATTTGGGTATGAAGACTATGATGTTATTTGTGTTTAGATTTGGGGTTTTCTTTATGCTAAGTTTAATTTAAGTTTTGTTTATGTCGATGGTTGAATTTTTTCCTTGTTTTCTGCAATTGATCTTAACTAGGATTGAATTTTTTCCATGTTTTCTGCCTTTGGTTAAGTCAAAGGAGCTGGATCTATTTTCTGATTTTAGTTTGCTTTATAACTGTGATTGTAGTAAACGGGCAAGATTGATTCTTAAATTTGGCAAAGGTTTCTATGATTCAATTGAAATATTAGGATGAAACTCTTGTAAACAGGAGCTGCTGTTAGATTCAATTAAAAAGATGCAAATCAATTCTGTCAAACATTTGGTTTTGTCATATTAGGATGAAGGCTATTTGGTAGTTTCTAGTTGTGCATTACATGATTGAAGGTTGTCATAATTTTCTTTCTTTAAAAGGATATGGCGTCCAAGAATGTTGATGGTCAAGAAAAAATGTCATGGCCTCCAAGACATGAGACAATATTCGTACATATATTGCATGAACATGTGAAGAAGGGTGACTTGCAGACATCAACTTTTAAAATGAAAGTTTGGGCAGAAATAAGTGATGAGTTGTATGCACAATGTGGACAAAAATGTACTATTCTACAACTTAAATCTAAGTTTAATAGACTGCGACAAGTACATCGTGACTTCTAAGATTTGATTGAGCATACGGGATTTGGGTGGGATCCTATTGCAAACACAGTGACTGCCTCAGAAGATGTTTGGGCAAGTTACTTGAAGGTATTATAATAATATCATATAGAAGTCTTTGTATTATTATTTTTAACTGACTCTGATACATAAGAATTGGTTGTGACATTTGATATAATATAATTTTCATGGTTTGTAGAGTAAGCCAAAAGCGAAGCAATTTCGCACTCAAGGCTTAGAGCACTATCAACTTTTAGGGGAGATATTCAACACTACTACTGCAACCGGGCAATTGCATTATGCCTCTAGTCAACTTCCTCCTAACTCAGATGATGAACGTGAGTTAGAAAACAACTTCCTTAACACCGGAGTTCACATCGATGTTGACTTGGATGATGATGGTGACAACCCTCAGCTTCTGAGTGGTAAAGGAAAAAGAAAGTGTGCAACTATTGCTCCACCCGAGTGTCGTTCAAAGAAATGGGATAAAATGGAATCTTATTTGGATGTTTGCAGTGAAGTTATGAGTCAAAAATTACAGCGAGAAAAGGAAAAGAGTCTTGAGGCATCTAGCACCTCTAAGGAGATGTATTCGATTGAAGAATGCATAGGCATTGTTGAGACAATGGGAGACGTTGATAACAATACATTCAACAAGATGCTAGAAAAGATAGTGCTTGTTGAATGGAGGAAAATCTTTGTTATAATGCCAGCAACAAGGAGGAGAGCGTGGTTGGCTAGTCTTTAGGATTACTACTTATGTTTGTTGTTGAGAGGATATTTATGAATTGTTCTTGTTATTATGTTTGATGTTTGTGACTTTAATTTGTATGGATGTTTGTGACTTTAATTTGTATGCATATTTATGGATTTTTGTGACTTTAATTTGTATGCATATTTGCATATTTTTGTGAATTTAATTTGTATGCATATTTGAAGGTACTGGACATGTCTACAAGGAATGAAGACAATCACTCTGATAGTGATTCAGATCTTGAAGAAATGGCGCATCATATGATAATTTGTATGCATATTTATGAATATTGGCAATCATATGTAGATAGAACTCCATGTCATAACTCTGTTTTATCTGGGCATGAATATGTTCAAGAGTTGTTGAATGGGCATCCAGATAGGATTTATGACTCATTTCGCATGGACAAACATGTATTCCAAAGGTTGTGTTACACACTTGAGAGTTTAAATTTGCTACAGAATGATAGACATGTGAGTACTCAAGAGGCAGTGTCAATTTTCTTATTTATAGTGTCTCATAGTATCCGCATGCGAGTGGCTGCTGAGCGTTTCCAATGATCTAAAGACACTATTCATAGACAATTTAAGCGTGTTTTGGGAGCTTTATGTGCGTTAGCACCACGCATTATAAGACCACAAAGTCGAGGGGAAACACCTTCTCAAATTTTGAATAACCCGAAGTATTATCCTTATTTTGAGGTAAGAAATTGATTGTTTTATTTATTTTATTACTAGAATTATATATTTTAAATTATATTTACTTTAGTTTCTAAATATATGAATTTACGTCAGAAGTGTATTGGTGCAATAGATGGAACTCATGTTGCTGCTTGGGCACCAGCTCAAAAGCAAACCTCATATTGTGGTAGGAAGATCCTTATTACTCAAAATGTCATGTGCGCTTGCTCTTTTGACATGATGTTCACTTTTGTTTATACGGGCTGGGAAGGACTGCAAATGACTCTAGGGTGTTCATAGATGCAGTGATGAGGCTAGAAAATGAGTTTCCTTTTCCAGATGAAGGTATAAACATAAGATTACAATTAATATTATTATGTACATTATTTGTGTCATGCAAGTAATAAATTAAAATTATAGGGTATTACTATGTTGTGGATGCTGAATATTCAAACGTGCCTGGATTCTTGGCACCCTACAGAGGTGAGAGATATCATTTGTGTGATTATAAAGGACCTCGACGAGCACCAAGAGGTCCTATGGAGTTGTTCAACTATAGGCATTCCTCATTACGTAATGTAATTGAGCGGTGTTTTGGTGTTTTGAAAGCTCATTTTCTAATTTTGAAATTGATGCCTAATTATCCTCCGAGAAGGCAACGACGAATTCCTATTGCATGTTGTGTGTTACATAATTTTATAAGAAAAGAAGCTCGTCGTGATAGGATGTTTGAAGAGTTTCAAGTTGAAGACATGATCATTGATTCAGAAAATACAACAACACCAAATATAGATATGTCTGCAGAAAATATTGCATAAATGGGTGACATTAGAGACAAGATCGTAGCGGATTTGTGGCGGGATTTTATTTAGTGCTCATGACAACATGATTTTAAATTTTATATTGCATATTTTTCAAATATTTGTGAGACTATGAGAGATTTGATCTATGATTTAAGATTATATCTTGGAGGACATGAGACCATTTTGGGTTAGCTAATGCACGTATTGGATAATGATAATTAATTTGACCATTGCACAATTTTAAAGAAAGTTTTTGGCTTATTAATAAGCCTGATAAGATATGTGCTACACAAAATATTTGATTTATGATGTTGAAACTAATTTTTACAATACTATTGCTGAACTCATATTCACTGTTTTTGTCATTTTCATATGTTCGTACCGGACACGTTTTCACTGTTTTCGTTCTCGGAAAATGTTTTCCAGTTAGCGTACCAGACGCATTCTCAAATCTTGAAAATGCAAATTCGTTTTCTCGTTTTCATTTTCTGAAAATATTCTTAGAAAACATTCTCCGAAAACGTTACCGAACGGACCCTTAGTTTCTCCATGTAAATGTGTCTGCAATGTAATCTAGTGTTTTGTCTAGGAAATGCCAAAGGGGGAGATTGTTAGTATGAAAATTGTATTGGCATTTCCTAGACTCTAGCCTAGGTCAGGAATTAGTGTGTGAATATGTGTTACTGGAAGTTTTAGCGCAACACATTCAATTCCAGATTTTCAAAGTATGACTGGATCGATATGAGAAACTTAATTTCAGGTAAATCATGACATAATCATGCATTCATTATAGGATTCCTAGCTGGAGTTATTTTCACTCAAATGCTTTTGTATTAGTCATCTTTTTAATAGGATTAGATTTTATTTCTTGATATTATTTTCCTATTTGGACCTTATTTTGGTTTAAAGTTAATATATCCTTTTTTCATCTTTATTTGGAGTGCACGTCTTATTTGGCTTCATTATATTGATATTGGTTTATATTGTTTCCTTATATAAATTGATGGGATTGGAAGTTATTCAAAAGCATGCATAAAGCTGGTGTAATTGTATAGAATCAAATTGGTTTTAGGCAACATTTGATCTCTTAGGCTTTAAGCAATTCCCTTGGAAAACGAAAAAGATGTCTGTATAAAGATGGCTTGACTTCTTGGTTTTTAATACATCTTTCACATGTTTTGATTGATCATTTAAATTTCTCTAGAAAATCTACTGTGCATATAGTTGAGATAAGTCATCAAGTGTTCCATGTTTACTTGGGGATTTATCAAATACTTTCATCATTCATATTGCATTCATTTGCATGTTCTGTGACTCATACGATTGAAGGCACCAAAATCGTGGTGGCAGTTTGTCTCCGGCGAGGTTAAAGCAATCGTGACCAGTATTGCGTTCAACATAAGGAGAGTCAAAAGATCATCCGGTGACAGAAGTTGGGTTACAAAGAAGTCGGTAAACATTATCTAGATTACGTCTAGGATAAGTGCATTTTTGTCATCCTACATGTAATTTCAATTAGTCCTTTGTATGTACCGACACACTTTCAATGGGCAGAGGTTTTTACAAAGGCCTTAGGGAAGGATCAGTTTGTGACATTTCGCGACAAGTTAGGACTTCATGATATTCACTCTCCAATTTGAGGGGGAGTATTAAGAAATATCTTTGTAAATATTTGTACTATCTTTACTTGCCCAAATTAGTGTAGGTCAAATCCCACTAATATTGGATCGAGGCTTCTAAGCCTTAACAGAAGGATTGATAGAAGGCTATGTATGTATTGTACTGTTTGATGTTTTGAATACAATAAAATATTCAACCATTTATTTTCTTGAGATACCAAGCGTTATGTGTTTTTTTTATTTTTTTGTTTTGGGTAGTGTTAAGCTCATAATTTCATACATATACATGCCTTATTTACTTACTTCTTTTGCTTAGTTTCTTAGATTTCTAAGTTATTTGCCTCCCTTTGTGTGTTTTGTAGGCAAATAGAGCAAGAGAGCATAATTCATGCAATTCAAGCATGTTAAGGCCTAATTTGGATGAAGGGAAGAAGAGCTTAAAGACAAACTC